AAAAAGCATATTTCATGGTCAACAACTTACTATAAGAGAATGACAAACAAAGACGACTGACACAAGCAAACCTTGACAACCTGATAATAATGTAAAAATCCATTTTCCATATGAGCCATCCACCAAAAGTTAGCTTGAAGCAAAAGAAGATTGGAACAAACATTCAATCCTTACAAGGATGGAACAGGAGCAACTGCAACTTCAAAGAGATTACCTGAGAGGATGGAAAAAGAAAAGCTCTTGATTTTGTTCAAGTACTTTATGTGGTCATATTTCTTCTTCGCTTCCTCCAACTGAGTCAAGTATTCCTACATGAGATTATTTTCAGCATTAGAAAAACTAATATCGCCAACAACTTGACATAGAATACAAGGAAAAATAAGGATAACATAATAGAAAATTGAAGTACCTAACTCAATCGTGGATTGAAGTTACGAGGATATGATTCAATGATTACTCCCAATCTCTGTAAGAAAATGGTTCTCATCAGTACCATTCCACTTATTATACGTAACCTCCGGAAAATCAGTTCCATTCATTTATTTATGTCGCTCTTAAATGATGGGTTTCTATCTGTAGTAATCTTTAAAAGAAAAAAATGGGATTACTAGAAACCCACTTCTCAACCTTTCCCTTTGTATTTTCTTTGGAAGTAAAATGCCTAGTCTATTCCTCTCTAATTTACATCAAAAACATTATACTAGATAACTCGAACAGAGAAACTTTATTGTACATCCTCCTCGCAGCCTTCCAAATCACTGCATTTTCATAAATTATCTGGTTCCTAACCATTGGAAGTCAAATCTTATTTTCACCCTCTTCAAATGGGCTGCAGACCGTTGTCTTATTGCTCTTTAAATTACCATTTTTGTCAAAATTCTTGGAGAAAACTTTTGATCTTTCCTTAGTCCTAAGAATGTCATGTTCTTCACTAGTATAACTTTCATCTTGGAAGACATTATCTATTCATAGAGTTGTGACAGAAAATGGATCATTATTGTTTTGATAAGCAAAATTTGTACTACTGTGTGAAATTTTGTAACATTGCATATGGGCACATAAACAATTAATTAACAAGATTGAAAAGAAAAAAATATACAATGTGAGTTTGCAAAAATTTGTGTGATAGGAAACTTGCCCCATCCTTAGTGTAATTTATGAGGTTGAGCAGGAGATGACGAGAGATACACTGGATCATTAGGCCATACGATTTACTGGGGATTTTTTTAATTTTTATGCTTGATCGTGTCGTATGCACAGAGATTACACTTGCGGGGCCATTCTTTTCAAGGGACATGGATTCTCCAATGTGGATTTCCAATGGCTTTTGGCGTATATAGTTTTGCCAATGGAGAGACGGATTATATGCATGGTGAAAATCAAATTTGTAATAGAAGAAAGCTCAAAATGATACCCTTTTTTGACAAATAGACAGTACACAAAATTTAAAACTTCAATTATTTTAAAAAATATGACTTACAGCTAGACAATTAAAATGTTAAATAGATGCAAACATAACATGTTGCAATAATATAAAATCACAAAATGTGGAAAGCCTATATAACATTCATAGCATTTTTCAAATTTCATGGTACTCTATATTTTATTTTGTTAACAGACTTTAAATTGTCCATGTAATACTGCTAGATGTATATTCTAAGAAATAAGATTAAATAGCGCTATAGAAGAAACAGTCCTATACATTACCTCCCTACAATGCAGCATTTTGAGTTCATAGCCTATATAACATTCATAGCATTTTTCAAATTTCATGGTACTCTATATTTTATTTTGTTAACAGACTTTAAATTGTCCATGTAATACTGCTAGATGTATATTCTAAGAAATAAGATTAAATAGCGCTATAGAAGAAACAGTCCTATACATTACTTCCCTACAATGCAGCATTTTGAGTTCACTGTTCAGCTCAAGGAAACTAATTTGGAGAAAAGTATAACGGCAAATATGAGAAAAGCTAAATTTTCATAAAAGAAACCCATCTTTCCTGACAGTTTAGTAGGCCTTTAAACATTCAGGAAAACCGCACAAATTAGGTCTTGCCAACATAAATATCTAAAACCTCACAAATTAGGTCCTGCCAACATAAATAATCCTCTTAAATCCCATATAAACCTTTCAACCATTTGGTTTCCATATACAAACTAAACCACCCAAATCACTAGACAAGAACTAGACATTCATTCTCCTTCACTCAAATGCATTCTCTATCGCTCAAACACTACAAAAACCCACAGAGTTAACAGGAAAACATATGAAAGATAGTTGCTCGCCAAATAATGATATTATCGAAGAAACCTGCTCACCAGAGTACTCATGTACTAATAAATTACTTTGGCAATCCCCTATAACACTGCATAGCAAGACAGTAATTTCTTATCATCTTAAAACCATAAGAAATAAAAAAATAAAAATAAAAATAAAATAAAATAAACGAAGTAAATCCGATGACCAAGCAACTAAAATTTCCGAGAAGCATTCATCATAAAATAAAATAAACCCTCAAATTGTTTATTACCTCTGGTTTGGGAAAATCAATCCTGGCCGCTGCCATCTCCACTTCCGGATTTTGCACAAAAGCAACAACTCTAAGACTCTCAAGTGGAATCCAAAATTGGAAGCGACTTCTCAAAGGGGGTGTTCAAAATCAGCATTCACCACAGTGAGAAGAGGGGCTCCCCTCTCTCTCTCTCTCAGCGCGCAGACTTTGGGTTCCAAATGAGACGAAGAACTCGTTAAACGGTCATCAATTTTGGCCGTTGAATTTTGTTTCATCCAACGGTCGACACGGGGTAAAGCTAAAACTATTTCGAACGTAATGGTGGGTGGAAACTAACCGTTGGAGTGGCAAAACCAAGTGACATATTGTCTCTAAGTTTTGTAGTCCTCACTCTCTCCGCTTAACTTCTTTCAAAACTCTCTCTCTCCTTATCATACATAGCAATTAGAAAAGATGGTGATATACCAAAGCAATTAGAAAAGATGGTGATATACCAAACCATTTGAAATTTGAGAAAGGAAAACGAATAGAAAGCCCAAAGGGTGCTTAGAATGGTACTCCTGTGGGAGTATAATGTACTTGTATTTCTTAGAGCACAAGATTGATTTCTTGGATATAAAGTTTAAGATAAAAAAAAACGTTTGAGATCTAAGACATTTAGGATTTTACAATTCAAAAGTGGATGAAGTTGAAGGCTCAAACTATATATTCTCCTCTCTTTTTTCCTTTTAAGGGGTCGAATTGCATTTTTTTCTTTTAATTGCCCTTGTAAGTCGAACTATGCTAAACAAACCTTCAAGGATCAATTAACATCGGTCCAGCTGCAAGCATTGAACCCACTTCTAGTTTAACCACATGTAGTTGAACCAAGCTTCTAGTTCGATCCTTGGTCGAACTACCCTGCCAAAAACGAATTCGACCATTGAAGGATCAAACTAGTTTTTGGTTTCTCCTAGTTTGACCGACGTTAGTTAGCTTGGCCCTTGAGGGTCAACTTCAAACTATATGTGAAAGTGAAGAAATGTAGTTTTGGCATTAATGCGTTGAACTACTTCTTAAGGAAAAAAGAGGAAATTCACGTGTATGTATCAAATTCTTCATATTAAAAAATGGGTGAGGTTGCTCTAAACAATCAAATTAGAGCCTACCTTCAAATAATATCGAGAAATGTGGTTTCAATACTGGAAATCTTTATTATCGTCTTAAA